CGTCTGCCCTTCTTGGGCGTGTAGTTTAGCCTCAGCTGTCTGTGCCAGATGCCCGTCTGCTGAGGTACCAGCTTGTATGTTGGGGGTTCCGTAGACACTAAGGCTGAAGAATCCTTAGATCTTGGGCTTGGATGTGATGAGATCTGAGTTCCTTCGCCAGGGGTCGTGTCCTCTGGACGTGATGCTGACGCAGGGCAACACGGTTGGTTGCAATGCTCCCTCCAAGCTGTGGAGTCTTGTGAGCAAAAATTCTACTTTGTGAGCCACTGGCATTGAAGTTGTGAGTGAGCGATTTGGCTACTGCATAAAGTAGTTTGCTCTGGAGCCCTCCTTCCTGAGCTAAGGCAAAAATGTGTGAGCTGGAGGCTAAAAAACTGTGAGCTAGCTCACACCAACTCAGCTTAGAGGCAACATTGGTTGGTTGTAGTCCTTGCAAGGCAGCTGCGGAATTTGAGTTGTCTTAGGTTCTTTGTTGACTCCAGTGGAAATATTTTTATCTAAGCTAGCTACTTTGAAGAAGAAGAAGAGGAAGGATTTATACCCTGCCCTTCACTCAGAGTCTCAGAGCGGCTTACAAACTCCTTTCCCTTTCCCTTCCCCTCCCCACAACAGATACCCTGTGAGGCAGGTGGGGCTGAGAGAGCTCTTTACAGAACTGCTCTTTCAAGAGCAGCTCTGACAGAACTATGGTTGGCCCAAGGTCATCCAGCAGCTGCAAGTGGAGGTGTGTGGAATCAAACCCGGTTCTCCCAGATTAGAGTCCGCGCACTTAACCACTACACCAACCTGGCTCTCTTTGCAAATCTAACATCACAAAAACATAACATTACTGAAAGCGTTTAAGCACGGCATTCTTTGTCAACTCCGTGCCTTCCCAGGAAGCCCTGAGCGCCGCTGATTTTTGCCCCTTGCGCGAGGCATTCCTTTTGCCACCAGGATCACGACACTGGTGTAAAGCCACAATCTTGCTGTGTGGTATTCTGCCAGCTTGAATGGACTTATCTGTGATCTGGTCCTTGCATAGCTAATGTCATTTGAAGTTGGGATGGCGCAGTCAGTTCTGGCATGTGACCTTGGAAGGGGGAGAGAGATTCTGGTAATTGCTCCGCTGGATGGAACAACAAAGCCGGGCGGTTGATCTGTCCCTCCCGATGACTTGGGGGAAAAAAATACCTTCTGCTCGCCCTCTGGAATTTGCCCGCACTGCCTCTGGGATCTTGCCAGTTTGCTTTGAAGGATTTGGGCCTGGGCGGTCTTCACGAGGCTATTTTTAGTAGCGGAGGAGAAACGATATCTGAAAATAGCTGGGTTCTTTCTTGCCAGTTACCGGTTTTGGCGTTATGGAAGATGCTCCCCCCACCGCACCGCCCTTCCCGCTGCTGGCTACATTCTGTGTACAAGCAAGGCCATTCATGCCTTATCCCGCAGAGAGGCTGAAGTTCTGCAAATCAGTTTCAGGGGCGGGGGGAGCGTATTGTCACGGCTCATAGCTGAGAACTAATGAATGAGTAATTGGGCGGATCTCTGCAGAGCTGTGTGCCGCCACATCCAACCTCTGTGTGATTCGGGGCAGGATGCCCACCTTTCTTGTCTGATGTTGGCTAATTTGGCAGTACCCCTTTTCTTTTCTTCTTTTTTCTGCCCTTTTTCTGTCCCCCCACCTACTTTTTTTTTGGGGGGGGGAGTGTGTTCTTCGAGCCATGTCTGTGCTTCGTTTAGTGTTGGCCTGCTCTCTCTCCTTCGATTTGCTTGCTGCTGTCGACAGGCCAGAGTGATGGCCTCCCAGCAGCCATAGCATCTCTGTTGTGTCTTGGGTTGCCCCTTTGCCCAAGACTCAAGCACTGTTCTCGCAAATTTGAAAAAGGGCCCCCACCTGCCAAGCAATGTTCCCTCTAAGCTGTGGAGTTTTGTGAGCAAAAATTCTACTTTGTGAGCTACTGGCATTAAAGTTGTGAGCGAGCAAATTTGGCTGCTGCAAACGTAGTTTGCTCTGGAGCCCTCCTTCCCCAGCTAAGACAAAAATGTGTGAGCCAGAGGCTAAAAAACGGCGAGCTAGCTCACACTAACTCAGCTTAGAGGGAACACTGCTGCCAAGTCTTTACAACATCCCAAAACACCCATGAAATTTCCTCCTGCTGTCTGCCTTTTTGTGAAGGGAGGCTGTGGAGTAGTTGTTCTGCTATGTGTTTGATTATTATGGTTTTCCTCGAGGTTTATAGAAATGCCCGTTAGAACATCTAAGTGCTTCTTCACCCAAAGAGTGATTGACACATGGAATTCACTGCCACAGGAGGTGGCGGCAGCTACAAGCATCGACGGCTTCAAGAGGGAATTATAAGCATACAGAGCAGTGGTCCATCAATGGCTAGGGACTCTCAGTCTGGGGCAAGTGATGCTCTGTATTCTTGGTGCTTGGGGGGGGCAGCAGTGGGAGGGCTTCTAGTGTCCTGGCCCCACTACTGGACCTTCTGATGGCACCTGGTGTTTTTGGCCACTGTGTGACAGAGTGTTGGACTGGATGGGCCTTTGGCCTGATCCAACATTGGCTTCTCTTAAGTTCTTATGTTCTTATCTTGCAGTTGAGGGAGTAGGATTTACAAATGCTCAGGCTGGATTTAAAAAAAAAATGCTACAAGATCTTGAGGGGGCTTTTGGGGGATGCAGTTGTTTTTGCTGGAATTGACTGAGCTGGATACTTCTCTGGCACCCGATTAAAACAGCCCTCCTCCTTCAACCTGTGCCTCATGCTCAGAACATGATTAATTGCAGGTAACTTTAAAAAATGGTGTGGTCCATCAGGGTCCCTCTTTCTCTGGTTTACACCGTTGCATATACCTGGCTCCTGACTTGACCCTCAAGTCTCCACAGGAGTGGGGAGGAAGGAGAAGAGAAGAGGCTGCTGGTAGGACTTCTGGGTGTACAGAGCCCACTGACCCCTTTGACACCCCTTCTCAGCAATCTAAGGGAAACTTCTTGTGCCTTTACTTTTCTCCGGTTGGTCTTTCTCCTCCTATCCCTGCCTAGACGGCAGCATGGCATAGCCCCATCTCACCAGATCTCAGAAGCTAAGCAGGGTCGGTGCTTGGGTGGGAGACCGCCCAGGAAGATATTGCAGGGGAAGGCAATGGCAAGCCACTTATATGTCTCACTTGCCTTGAAAGCCCCTTGCCGGGGCACCATAAATCGGTTGCGGCTTGATGGCACTTACACATGTACCTGGTCTTCATCCTTCAAAGTCTTCCTTCTCATTCGCCTGTGTTCCAGGCTACAATCCAACTCACAACCTGTTGGCTCTTAGTATCACCACACTGCATCCCTGGTTCCTTCTTTCCCTCTGTATTGGCCGATAGCCCTATAGCAACTGTGCCCTCATCACCAGCAGTATGGCTGTGTTCTGGGCAGTGCTCCCTCTAAGCTGAGTTAGTGTGAGCTAGCTCACAGTTTTTTAGCCTCCGGCTCACCCATTTTTGTCTTAGCTCAGGAAGGAGGGCTCCAGAGCAAACTAACATATGCAGTAGCCAAATCGCTCGCTCACAATTTTAATGCCAGGAGCTCAGAAAGTAGAATTTTTGCTCACAAGACTCCACAGCCTAGAGGGAACATTGGTTCTGGGCTATAGCATCACAACCAGTTGTTATTCCTTTTTTTTTCTTTTAAACTCTCTGTATCTTGAAGGAGGTACAAAGTATGCATCACTTTAAAACAAGCACTCATTTCTTATAGTGGTGTGTTTTGTTTTGTTTTTTTAAATCCTTGTTTGTATGCCAGTGTTTTGCTTTCTCCTTTATCAGGGCCACCGGAAGCCATCTTATTTTAATTAAGATGTGATGGCGGTGATTTTATTGCAAGTCTTGCAGCATTACATTTCAAGACAACTCTGGAAGTTACACGGTGAAGCTTGCAGTAAACTCATGAGAATTGACAAGAACGTTTTCATATTGGTTCTTGTCCTCCCCCTCCCTGTGGATATGTAACTTCTCTGTACACCTCTCTTTCTCTCCCTCTCTCTCCATTGTGTCTAATGGAGCTTCAAATTAACATAGGTTTTTTGTTTACCTGGTAGCGGGCACGCATCCTAAAAGAAGTTGGCACAACTTTAGAAACAGTCCTCTAAATGCTACTGCAAGGTTGCAGAAGTGATTTTACTTATTTACCAAAGTCCAATTCCACTCTTCATCCGAAAATTTCAAGGTGCTATTCAAAATTGTTCTCAAAAGTACTGTGAATGTCAAAGAACCATGTTTGTGTGGTGCTGTTTTTAAAGCAAAGAACTTACAATAGCTAAGGGTAGAGCTTAACAGAATCTCAACTGCTGTCCTTTTTCCAAAAGGTAGACTTTTGCTGATCTATGGAACTGAAATTGTAGTCATAGAAACAGTGCACTGTAATACCTTAGGTATCCCTAGTGGCTTGATAGAGTATTGTCCACAGTTAGAGAGAGAAGAGAAGAGATTGGATTTATACCCCGCCCTTCACTACCAAAGGAGTATCAGAGCAGCTTACAAACTCCTTTCCCTTCCCCTCCCCACAACAGACACTCTGTGAGGTAGGTGGGGCTGAGAGAGCTCTGACAGAAACTGCTCTTTTTCAAGAACAGCTGTGCCAGAACTATGGCTTGCCCAAGGTCAAGTGGAGGAGTGGGGAATCAAACCCGGTTCTCCCAGATTAGAGTCCATGAACTTAACCACTACACCAAACTGGCTCTCTTAATGTTTGGGACTCTGTTCAAAGACCTGCCAGTCTTAGTGGTCACTTAGATTACTTGTGCATCAGTCAGGGCCCATCTAACTGATTGCAGCATGCTGGTTGTGTATCGGTGGCCCCATGTATTGCTCTGATAGCCCCCACAGATGTCGGGAATGGCACTGGGTGGTACATATAGTGGAAATTACAATGTGTAAAATGCTTACTTTCCCTCCTTGTGTTTTATTTCAGTGTAGCTGGTGTTTGAAATGATGTGAAAACATTGCACACAGTAATATTGCCTGTTTTGGTTGCAGAGGTTGGAGACCTCCGAGAGCTGCAGACGTTGGACATTTCAACCAATCATTTAATAACTCTGCCCGAGAGGCTGCATATGTGCCTCTCTCTTCAGTACCTGACTGCTGACCGGAACCATCTGTGGTGTGTCCCTCGTCACCTCTGCCAGCTCCCCAGTCTCAATGAGCTATCCATGGCTGGAAACCGCCTGGCATTCTTGCCACTGGGTGAGTAATCACCTTTCTTGATATACGGAGCCATGCAGGACTCTGTTTTTGTTCTGATGTTGTTCCAAGGTCTGCTTTTCTTTTGATCCATCAGTATTCTTAAATCTCTGCTCGCAACAGCGTTTTTAAGCAATAGCGTTCCTGCTTGAACCATCCCTTGTTTTGCTGAGGTAGCTAGAATTAAATTGTTAAACCTATTAAGATTGGTTTTAGATTTTTTTTTTAAAAAGAGGGAGACGGTGTGCTTCCTAAATAGGGGCATCCGTAGGAACACAAGTCATGCCCAGCTGGATCAGACCAGTGGTCTGTCTAGTCCAGCCTCCTGTTTCAGTGACCAAACAGTTACTGTGGAGGGCGAGCAAATGGGACATAGAGGCCAAGGCCTTCCACTGATGTTGCCTCTTAGCACTAATATTCAGAGGTTAACTGCCTCTGGGTGTGGTGGTACCCTTTAGTCACCGCAGCTAGTAGCCATTGACGGACCTCTCCTCCACAAACCTGTCTAATTGCTTTTCAAAGCCACCTGTGCTCGTTGACGTGCAGTGAATCCTAAGGTTTAGTTGATCATCCAGTAATGGACTACTACATTTTGTGCGTCCTGAAACTATTGCCCATCAATTTCATTAGGTCCTTCTGCTCCCAAGGTGCCTTATTACATAAGAACATAAGAACATAAGAGATGCCAATGTTGGATCAGGCCAAAGGCCCATCCAGTCCAACACTCTGTATCACACAGTGGCCAGAAATACCAGTGCCATCAGGAGGTCCACCAGTGGGGCCAGGACATTAGAAGCCCTCCCACTGTTGACCCCACCCAAGCACCAAGAAGACAGAGCATCACTTTCCCCAGAGCCCCTATCTATACCTTGTGGCTAATAGCCACAGGAGAGGGATGTGTTGTTTTTTAAAAAAAACAATGTTGTAGGAACAGTTTGGGACCCCCCATTTTTAAAGATTTTGAGATGAGGACTGAAACCTTCTGTTGAGATTTGTCCGGAGAGACTGTCGTGATTTCTCAAAAAAATAAAGTAAACATTGTGCGTGGCTTTGGGTTTCAGCTGTCTAGCCCGGTGAATGGTCTCCGTGAAAGCCCTCCTTTTTGCCCTTGTGTAGGAGAGGCTTCTTCACAGAGGACTTTAGCCGTATTTTGGTCAAAATGGTCACAGATACACACACAAGCCGTCTTTCCACATGTTTGCAGTTTGAGTTCCACAAGGCAGGTCATAATTATATACCTACATTAAAAATGTCATCTAACATGTTAAAGGGGGGGGAGGGAGCCTTAAAATTAGATTTGGTGGCTTCTGGGTCTACAATAAATGTTCTCATTGAGGCGAATAAATAGCTCCATCTGTTTAGACTCTGGCAAATATTTTAATATAATGTATAATTACACCCACATCATTTATTTTATGGTTGTCGACAGCATCTCTTGATGTAGAAACAAGTTTCTTCGCCTAAACCAAGCTGATTTTGAATCATATTCCGAACAGGGCTTTGCACCTTTCAGTGTAGCCGTGTTGAGAATGCTGGTTACGCCAGAGGCAGATGGCAGTAGCAGGGAGTTCGAAAGAGATTAGATTAGAACTGCCGTAGAACGAACAGCCCAGGAAAGGGCACCTTTACAACAGAGTAGTCTACTGCAATGATCATCGTAGGTAGCATCTGCTTTTAGTGCATTGGCTTTACCTTGCAACTCTTCTTTCTGCATTATTTGTTTACCTGCCTTAGTTTTCTGCATTGTTCCCTAGTTCCTAAGGAACTAGAATGGACTGTATCTCTTCAGGCGGCAGGTGATAAATCATAATTTTAATATTTTTTTTAAAGAAATAGCTAAACTAGAACAGTTGCTTTTCTTAATCACATGGCAAATTGCTTTTTAGTAGGCTTCTTTAGAAATTTTGTTTTATTCTATTTACATTATTTACATTTATTCTATTTACCTTATTCATAAGCCGCCTTTCTCTCAGGGACTCAAGGCAGGCTACACAATCATAAAACCATCTAAAAGAGTCCAGATGATGTAAAGTGCTGGTACAATGGGTCTGGCAAAATTAATGCTAACGATATTTGGTGACGGCGGCAGCAATTGATGTCCTGTTCTGTTGATCCGCTCCTTACGTGGCCGGCTCAGGCTGTTGATGATAGTTCCGGAGGGCAGGGCTCACAATTAATTATTGGGGAGGGGGACGGCTCCTAGTTGAAGGGCTGGTGGAAGAGCTCCGTCTTGCAGGCCCTGCGGAACTGCATAAGATCCTGCAGGGCCCTGATCTCTTCCGGGAGCTCATTAAGATTTTAGGAGTCTGGAACCACCAGAAAGAACTGAAGCATCACATAAGTTAGTCACATGACATGTTAAAGCAGTCGGGAAACTGTATAAATAGGATCCTACTTACAATAAGCTATACACAGCAGTATAGACCACAGTCATGGAATCATTTTATTTATTTTATTTATTTAGGTATTTTTACCCCGCCCTCCCCGCAAGAGGGCTCAGGACGGCTTACAGGGGCATAAGCCCATACATAAAGTACAATAAAATCCTGTAAAATCACGAAATCACAACCAATAACATACTGTTAATAATATTAAAGTGCTTTAAATTCCAAGATGGTCTGCTGTTGTTGTAGTAGTATCTTCCGGCAGAAATAGTCTGAGCTAATTGGCTGGTCTTGCTGCCATGTAGTTCACCTTACCGCCGGGTTATCAAGGGCTCTCCAACTTTGATGATAATTCCACCGTTGGTGGTGGTGGTGGGAGCGGCGGCCCCTACATAAAGGCCTGGTGGAAGAGCTCTGTCTTGCAGGCCCTGCGGAATTGCATGCGATCCCGCAGGGCCCTGATCTCCTCCGGGGTTGCAGCATATCGTACCTCTCGGGGATCCGGGGCCACTAAACGGCTCTGGGTCCCCGACCGAAGTGCTCTTGGGGGTGTATACGGGGAAAGGCGGTCCCTTAGGTAGGTCGGACCCCGGCCATATAGGGCTTTAAAGGTAAGTACCAGCACTTTGAAGCGGATTCGGTATGCTATAGGCAGCCAGTGCAGTGCCTTCAACCCAGGCTTGATGTGCTCCCACCTGGGGAGGCCCATCAGCAGCCTAGCCGCCGCATTCTGCACCAGCTGCAGCTTCCGGATCAGCGACAAAGGCAGCCCCATGTAGAGAGCGTTACAGTAGTCTAGCCTTGAGGTGACCGTCGCATGGATCACTGTAGCCAGATCTTCACGGTCGAGGAAGGGAGCCAACTACCGAGCCTGCCTTAGATGGTAAAATGCAGACCTGGCAGTGGCTGCTACCTGGGCCTCCATTGTTAAGGAGGAGTCCAGGAGCACTCCCAAGCTCCTAACCTCCGACGCAGGCACCAGAGGTACCCCATCGAAGGTCGAGAGAGGGAGCCCCAACCCCAAACCGTTCCGACTCAGGCCCAGGACCTCCGTCTTCGCTGGGTTTAGTTTCAACCGGCTCAGCCTGAGCCACTCAGCTACAGCCTGTAATCCCTGTTGTAGATCTTCAGGGTCGGAGCCCGACCGGCCACCCAACATCAGATAGAGCTGGGTGTCATCTGCGTAAAGATGACAGCCCAGCCCATACCTCCTGGCAATCTGGGCGAGAGGGCGCATATAGATGTTAAAGAGCATCGGGGAAAGCACTGCCCCCTGAGGAACGCCACATTCAAGTGGGTGCCTCTGGGACCGCTGTTCCCCGATTTCCACTCTCTGTCCCCGACCTTGGAGAAAAGAGGCAAGCCATTGAAGGGCGAGTCCCTGAATCCCCACGTCGGGAATCATAGAATCACTGTTGTAAGGGGCCACACAGGACATCTAGTCCAGCATCCTGCTCAGTCATTATCCAAGCAAGTTTGGAAAACCATTTTGTACAGCAGGTTCAAGTATGGGGCACAAAGAAGGGGTTGCTGTTCACAAAAGAAAGACTGTGCTGTACAAATGGATCTCCTAGTACACTTCCCTCGAGTAGCAGCCAGGATGTTATGCCACATGCCACTGTTCACCAAAGCCAGGGTGAAGAGAAAGTTGCGGAAGAAGGGAAGCATAAACGGTTTTGTGGGCCCTGTGCCTCTTTGCTTGAACCTGCAGGCCATGTGGCATGAAGAAAGCTGGTCTAAAACAAAGTCAGGTGACTGAGATGGGTGTCCATCTGTCGAAGAGTACAGTTTTATAGACGAAAGCAGGGCTGCAACACTTAGTTCCTTCTGACAACTTAAAAAGGTATTTCCAGTTTATCCATCAGAACTCTTTAGAATTAACTGCAAGGACTTAATAAATGCTGCAGGCCACTGGTGCCATATCAGGTGTTCTCTGATTCAGGTTCAGAGAAGAAATACCTCTGCCCGGTGCAAAGACATGCATACATCTCTAAGATTACTGTTGTTCATATGTAACCTTTTAATCAATTGATTAAACCTCATGATCTGATTCAGCTTGATTTTTTTAAAAAAGTGGTCAGTAGCTTTGCAAGAAACGAATACAAAGCTGAACTGAAAAGCAGTTCTTTTGGGGCACTGGTTGCGGAAAACCATTGGGTTGGATCCAAACTAAATCGGCAAGAAAGTCCCTCTTCCTGCTGCAAGCCCCCCCCCCCCCGATTCTTATTCATCGGGGGTCTTCTGTCCTCCAGGAGCAGCGTTTTGTGGGGGTTCGATTCTGCCACTGGGAATTTTAGTCTGACTCCAACCCATTGTTTGCCACAACTTCCAAAATAGATGCTGCGGTGAGCATTGAACTTCTGAGAAAGGTGGCCGTAGGATGGCATGGCTAAGATTCTTTTTATGGTAATGTTTTTAATAGTAGCGTTCCCTAGTGGGTATCCATGCATTTGGTGCTAGACGAGAAGGTCTGGTGCCCCATGTGTGATAAACAGGGGGGGTATCCTCTCACAGCGTATGCCTCTCTTGTGTGTTCGCTTTCACAACGGAGTTAAAGAACATCATGAGAGATGCACAAGCATGTCTGTTCCATCTTCAGCCATGTGGAAAGCATATGCCAGTGCCCTGAGGTTAAAACATGGAGGAGGAGGGAGAAAAACTTGAACTGGGGGCGTTGTTCAGGACTCAGAAGCAGTTGGTCATTTCTAGCAGAAGGGCTTTGATCTTTCGCTCTGGAAGGAGGCGAGTGGAAACTTTTTTTAAAAAGTGCTTTAGGAAAGCCACATGAAAACTCGCTTTGTAGTTTCAGATGGACAGCTTCCTTGCTCTGCTAAGTCCAGAAGGGAATGCGTTGAGCAAAGAGCTCTTGGCGATGTTTATTGCATGATGAGAAGCTTAAAAATTAATGGCAGGGGAAGGTGGGAAGGGCCTCTTACAGTGGTAACTACCAAATGTTTAGAAAATCTTTTTGAGGTTCTCCTTGGCACAGCTGTCTGTCTCTGAGCGGCTTAGGTGAGACAAGTAGCACATGCTAAATGCAACAACTACTGCTGAGTGTATCTGAATGCTTCTTAGCTGCTTGAGGGCTTGTCTGTGAAACGTCTCTTCAGTAAAACAGGAACTGGAGATTATTCTCTAGGACTCACCAAATGGTTTACTTGTGCTGCATTCTTCTAGATTTCCCAAAGGTTCTGCAGTTCCCAAAGGTTCCCAAAGGAAAAGATTCTGCACGTGGGAAAATAAAGGGGGGGGGGAGTTGTAATTAGCTGTGCTGGCCCATTCAAAATCCAAAACACGAAACAAAAGTCTTGTGATATTTTTTATTGGGGCCAACTGTGGTGACACGCAAAGTCGTGCATTGCTTTTGAGCTCATCAGAACCCTTGATCGGGGAGGATGTTACAAAGACGAAGGAGGGCAAAAAGATTTTCCTAACGAAATACGGTCATGGAAAGGGAGCTCTCTGTGTTTGGTTTTAAGTTGCACAGTTCAGTTCAAACACCCGTACTGTATTTGAGGACCCATATCCGTTCAGCCCAGCCTGATTTTGTCAGAGCTTGGAAGCTAAGCAGGGTCAGCCACGGTTAGTGCTTAGATTGGAGATCGCCAAGGAACACGGGAACTGCTGTGCAGAGGAAGGCAACGGCAAAACCCAACTCTGCCTATCCGTTGCCTTGAAAACCCTGTGGTCGGGGGGTCCGTCGCCATGAGTTCATTGCGACATGATGGCATACAATTATTATTTGTGTCTGTTGGCAAGACTGGTGCACAACTGCCTCAAAGCGATAGAGGCATCGTGGGTTTGGATCCTGGTGCTCTGCCCTGTTTCTTTTCCCCCCAGCTGATTCTGCAAGAAGTCAGGGTTTTTTGGCTTGACGAGAACAGCTCCCCAAAGTTCGGTTTTGCACTGAAAAGGTATTCCCTATAAATGGCTGTTGACATCCAGCAGCAAAACTCCTATTACTGAGAGTAAAACATTTTCATTTCCTTGTGAAGGATGTATGTGCATCAAACCTGTGGTCGATATTAATTTTTTCACTCACAAAGATGAGCACAGGTTTTTCCCCACTAGGAGCACCACTGGTTGTTTTTAATCGGACAATCTTACTGGGTGAGAGAGACTCGACAGTCCTCTGAATACGGTACCTTTGGGAAATTTAGAAGCATCACTTTACCCTCCTTTCTTCATCATTTCATGGGGCTCTTAAGAGGTAATCCAAGAAAACGAAATGTCTTGCGAGTGAGAAATGGGAGAATGACTTTGACTTGAACAATGGTTTATATCAGAAGGATTTTGTTATGCACAAATCCCAACTGTTTCACTAACAAGCCATTCCTAATCAGTAGTCCCTGTTTGCACAGAACCTCGTTGGATTGCGGTGGTGGGTGGGTTTGTCCATATATACCATGATTTCTAACAAGAATTTGATTTCTTCATCCCCTCTTTGGTTTCCCAAATCCAGATTTAGGTCGTTCCCGAGAACTGCAGTATGTTTACGTGGATAACAACGTTTACTTGAAAGGGCTTCCCTCTTACCTTTATAATAAAGTCATCGGTTGTAGTGGGTAAGTGTTCGGATCAAGTTGTCGCACGCACGCTTATCACGCAGGCTGCCTTCTTCAGATGCAACGTTGAGTGGCTTTTACTCACATGTTGAAAGGATGACATTGACTTTCGGCTCCCTACAGTTCACTGAATCTCCTGCTTTAATTTTCTGAACATTCAGTACTTTCAGCATTAGTATTAGGATTTCATTTCCTGACAGGCTGTCCACTTCTTTGACATTATAGGACGTTTTTGGGTGATCACACTCAACGGGTAGCGTGGTGCCAACAGAATAAAAGTCTGACTCAGTTTGTTATTTCATAAGTAATTTTGGAATTGCTGTATCAAACGGACTGTTCTCTGGACTTTTTTTGAGGCCAAATATCTCTAAGAGCATTTTGCTGAACTGTTTGTTCAGCATGGAATGGCATGTAGGTTCTTTTTTTTTTTAAGATTTATTTATGATTTTTACATTACAAAGAGAAAAACAAAGTTGCAGTATATAAATCAAATTTTGGAGTTTACATTAAACATTGTTTCTCAACCATTTGTTAACTTTGTACCATCTTTTTTGGAAAGCTTTTTCATCTTTTCCTAAAAGTATCATATTCAATTTATCAATTTCTGCCACATCACACATTTTTATGATTAACTCTTTTCTAGTAGGTAAGCTATCGGTTTTCCAACATTTAGCAACAAGTATTCTAGATGCAGTAAGGGTGTATGATAAAATACATGTAGGTTCTTATTGACTTGTTGCATCAAGACAGTAATTTGTGGCAAAAAAAATTTTATTCCCTTGGCAAACAGAATTGCACGTCTCGGTTTAATTTTGGAGTAATCTGTACCTTAAAAGGCTCCGTTTGTATGCTTTAGGCACACCTGGCAAAACTTGAAAGCATGCACATTAACAAAAGTGGTAATGGCAGGTCTACCCTCTTGAAGGGCTGGGTTGTCTTCTGCGAGGTGATTGTGTAAACAGAACTCATGAGTACCTGCTGTTGGAAGTGAGTGTGTTTGGAGTAGGAGTCACGGAAGTGAGCTCTATCTCACTGTCACAAGAGTTTTGTCAGCGGGCATGAGAACGCTGATTATGTGTTCGTTTCTATTGGCTTAAGCGTAGGACGTTCTCTGAACTGAGAACTGCCAAAAGCCCTTTGACTGTTTTGTGCAACAGAAACAGCAAGTTCATCAGTGCTCACTTGCTTTTCGCGAATCCAAAACCACGACTTGGGAGGCAGAAAATGAATGACCATTAAGTAAACCGTTTGGGATGTAATGACTGCAGTCAGCTATTTTGCCTCTCGTTTCTTTTCTTTTTGGGCAGCTGCTAACAACCTTGGTTAGTTTTTGTTTCGGCTTTATCACCTGCTGTCTCCATGAAACTCAGCGCCGCCTATGGCAGTGTTTCCAAATCCAAACACTTGATCACCAAGTGGTATTCAACAGTCTAGATTTCTTTTTCCTGCCCCTTTCCCAAAGATTGAGGACATTAGTCAGTGATTTCTGCAGTTGCCTGAAAGAGAACCACTCCCCCCCCCCCAAGGCCTCCTGGGCTTTGCATCTGAGTAGAGATTTGAACCCCAGTCTCCTGTGTTCTGCCAAAACTTTGTAGACACTGTCACTTCCACTTCCGCCCAGCTGCGCCACCAGTGTAGGATAATGTGATCCTCACCTTGGGGAAAAGCCACCTTTGCAAGAAGGAAGTTTTGAAGAAGTCCTGTGCCCATCTGTCTGATGTCCATTGAGGCTAATGACAATTTTAAGGACAGCTCTGTAGGTTGAGAAGGGTATTGCACAAATCTGTAAAAATTAAGTGGTAGTTACTCCTGCCAACCTAGCAGTTTGAAAGCAAGAAATTGAAAGTAGATAAATAGGTACCACTTCAGTGGGAAGGTAACAGCGTTCCGTGAGCCTTGGTGTTTAGTCATGCCGGCCACATGACCACGGAAATGTCTTCAGACAGCGCTGGCTCTTCGGCTTTGAAATGGAGAGGAGCACCGCAACCCTAGAGTCGGATTCAACTGGCTTTCGAGCAAGGGAACCTTTACCTTTATTCTAGGGCAGGTTTTCGTTTTCATTTGCCTAGCAGGTTGTTGGGAGGGAAATGCAGGTTTTAGTCGAATCCAGGGGTTGAATTCAGTGGGCTTTTGAAAATCTCTCTTGGAATCCCATTGCAGTGGTAAAGCTTAAATTTGTTCAGACCAGTTAGAATTTGGCCAGCCTCTTCACACTAAGTGTACACTTAAGAGTGATTAAGTTGCACCTAAGAACGTATGCCCCCAAATACATTTACAATCCCATAACTTGTAATTGTTTGTAATGTATTTTAAGTGTTTGTGCAGCTGCACAATTTTCATTCGTGGGGCTTGTGAAAGTAGGCCTCCTCTGGGCTATTTCATGTGTGTGGATGTGTATAAGAGTGAGAGCTGCTTTAGAAAAGCAGCGTACTGCAGAAGGAAGTCTCTGGGATAGACCAGGTGATGACTTTGTTGTGCAATGTCATTTCCCTTTTGAAACAGTCTTCTTTTTCAACTACTGTTTCTCCAGCTGTGGTTCTCCTGTTCAGAAGTCAGAGGTGAAGCTTCTCTCCTTTTCTTCGGGGCAGCTGACTGTTTTTCTCCCAGCAGAGGTGAAGTCGATCGGGACCCACTTGGACCCCGTCCTGCCCTTGCAAGAGATGGCCATGCGGACACTGCATAACACCTACTGCGGGTTTCTCAAAGGTAGCCGAGCTGTGATCAATCCTATTGCACATCCTCAAGCACCTAAATGGGTGGATGGTCAGACCTTAGTCCTTTCCTGTGCTTTCTCACAGTCTGGAGGGGATTTACGAGGAAATCAGGAATGGAAGAGGAGGGGAAATTAAACCTAGTAAAGGGGAAAGATGAGTTGGGGGGGGGGAGGATAATGACACGAGCGTGCTGAATGTTGGAGAAGAAAATTCAGTTGGAAAGAAATTGACAGAGGCTGACTGGGAAGTTAAAATGACAGCTCGTTTCAGACAGACCTGGCTAGCAGTACCCACAGTGGGTGTCTGCTTACCTGCGGTGGCTCTGTACCAACACCGGTTGGCAGCAGTGCCAGTAGAGGCAGCAGTGGACCCAGCACCCGTCATAGGTACCCCTGGTCAGGTCCGAGTTGAGCAATCCCAGGAGCACTGGCAGAGCTACAGGGGCTCGACTGGACTTGTTCCTCTCAGCCTGCAGCCGTCTAGAGCAGGGGTGTCAAACGTATGGTCAGCAGGTCAGAATCGGCTCATCCAGGACTATTACCCAGCCCAGAGCAACCGTTTGCCTTTCTTGCCAGGTGACAGAGGCTGTGCATTGTTATGTCCCTGTATACTGTCCCAGTGCTGATGTCTAACGGGCGGTGGAAGCGGAAGGGTGGGCATAAGGGAGATACTGTAAGAGTGTTACTGTTTTAAGCATGTTTGTCTTTTGAGTCAATAATAATATCGTTAATTGGGTTTGCCTGTGTCCTTTATACAGTTTCTGTCTCCGGCTCCTGGCATTACATTTTATGGCACACATGGCCCGGCCTGACCAAATGACATTTATGTCAGATCTGGCCCTCGTAACAAATGAGTTTGACACCCCTGGTCTAGAGCCTTGTCCCACTGGGAACTTTCCTTGTATATGGCCAGGCTGTCCCTAACAATTGAGGCAGTAAAAGGTGGGAAGACGGTTGGGATTTAAGCCCCGGGCATTGGGGTGGGGAATGCTTGTGTTGTACCAGAAGGGTTTGTGGCTTCAGTAGGACCTGTAGTTCCTTCGGAGAAAATGCCAGCGTCTCTGCCTGCTGACTCGGCTATCCCCCCCCCCCGAGAAGTGGCTCTGAGATTCTGGACCCCCTTTTGTTTCTGCGTAGATCTGGGAAATCCCTCCGTGTCCACCTCATTGACTGGCTGGGCGGGGCCAGCTCTTCTCTCAGCAGCAGCATCCAAAACTGGGAGAGTAAGGTGGGCGGGGGCTGGCCATGATGGGTGGTGCATGCCGTGAGTTCAGCAGAGCCCCCACCCCTGCCCGGCGCTGTTGACTTTACCCCTCTAGTGTAGCCATCGTATTTAGACCCTCCAGAACATGGAAGAAGGAGGAGCTTCAGGAGGAAGAATAAATATGAAAGCTCTTAGACTTCACAAGATGAGCAAAGACTCAACTTGCAGTTGAGCAAGAACCGTAGAGCAGTTGTTGCAACTGCAAAGAAGATGAGCTGCTTGATGTCTGCCCCATTTTAGGATCTTTGTCTGAAGAATGCCCCCCCCCCCTTTGTCTTGCACCAAGTTGCCATGTAGAGCTTTGACTCCCGACGGTTGAATATCGAGCTTTCTCAAAGTCTTCAGGTGCCATCAGTCTCCCCCGTGGGTCAAAGGAGAAGAGGATAGCTGGGAGTCAGTCCAAGCTAGCAGAGACCATTTGCCAAGAAAACAGTCTGCCGCTCAATACATTTTGTGCTGCAGCTATTTCTCCTTTAGGCCAGTGTTGGAATGTTTGGCCCAAAGCTACGTGTGTTACATTGCAGGGGATTTGGCACTCATCTACAGGGAAAAGATCTTATGACTAGTAATGTTACGTACTTCTTTTGCGGGCTATTTAAAGGGTAGGCCACCGTGGTGCATAAATCTCTAACCTCTCATAAGAACATAAGAGCCCTGCTGGACCAGACCAGTGGTCCCTCTAGTCCAGCATCCTGTCTCACACTGCGGCCAACCAGTTAACTCTGGAGGGTCCAACCACAGGGCATAGAGGCCAAGGCCTTCCCCTGATGTTGCCTTCTGGCACAGGGATTCAGAGATTCACAGTCTCTGAGCGCCAAGGTTCTGTTTAGTCACCAGGGCTGGTAGCCACAGATAGACCTATTCTTCATGAATCTGGCTTTTAAAGCCATCTATGCCAGTGGCCGTCAGTACATTCTCTGGCAGCCGATTCCACATTTTAATCACTCATTGAGTAAAGAAGTGCTTTTTTTTGTCTGTCCTGAATCGACCATCCAGTCCTAGTATTTTGGGAGAGGGAGAAAAACTTCTTTCGGTCCACTCTCTCTGCCTTGTGTGTAATTTTATAAACCTCTGTCATGTCCAATGCTCCCTCTAAGCTGTGGAGTCTTGTGAGCAGAAATTCTACTTTGTGAGCTCCTGGCATTAAAGTTGTGAGCGAGCAATTTGGCCTGCTGCATATATCAATTTGCTCTGGAGCCATCCTTCCTGAGCTAAGACAAAAATGTGTGAGCCGGAGGCTAAAAAACTGTGAGCTAGCTCACACTAACTCAGCTTAGAGGGAACACTGGTCATGTCCCCCTTAGTTGTCTCTTTTCTAAACTGAAAAGTCCTAGACTCCAGTCTTTCCTCATAGGAAAGGGGCTCCGGCCATCCTCCATATGATGTCGTCGACCAGAACCAGGGCTTTCTCTGGCTCCTACCCGGTGGAACTTTCTGCCGAGTCACATCCCCGCCTTGCGGGATATACAACAATTCCACAGGGCGTGCAAGACAGAGCTGTTCCACCAGGCGGCCCCGTCTTCACACTCCCAGCCTCCTCCTTCCTGCGCCCTTTCCCCCATGAGACAGCGGTTCTGTTAGGACTTTAGCGCCACCTATAGCTAATTAGATTGATCTGGATGTTTTACTGTTTTAAAGGTAAAGGTAAAGGTTCCCTTGCTCAAAAGCCAGTCGAATCCAACTCTAGGGTTGCGGTGCTCATCTCCGTTTCAAAGCCGAAGAGCCAGCGCTGTCCGAAGACGTTTCCGTGGTCATGTGGCCAGCATGACTAAACACCAAGGCGCACGGAACGCTGTTCCCTTCCCACCGAAGTGGTACCTATTTATCTACTTGCAATTTCTTGCTTTCGAACTGCTAGGTTGGCAGGAGCTGGAACTAGAGACAGGAGCTTACCCCGTCTTGCGGCACCCGGGTCTTGAACTGCTGAACTACTGACCTTCCACAGCCTGCAGTTCAGCGTCTTAACCACTTGAGCCACCGCACCTCCTTGTTTAAATCTGAGGCCACACCATAGATCCTTACAGGGGGCATTATAATATTGGCTGTCACATTTTCAGTCCCTTTCCTAATAATCCCCAGCATAGAGTTTGCTTTCTTCATTGTGCATCACCTTACCCTTACCTACATCACCATGAGGTCAAAATGCCCTCACAGAGCCTCCTGTCTATAATCCTGATGATCAAATCTTCCACTACCAAAGGCTTACCCACGGCCAACCCCAGAGGGATATCCTCAGTATGCCGTGAAAGGAAGAAGTCCCTTCCGAGGGAGTATTTCTGCCTTCCTCAGCCTGAATCCCTTCAACCTCACAGTCCTCACTCTCTATGACAGCAGAGGAGCTATCAACCCAGGAGCCGGTCTTTAGGGGGTCTCGTCCATGTACCTCACGGTCTATGTCTTGGGTACAAGGCAAGTTATATCACTTGTTTCGCTAGCATTCTGAAGCCGGAAGGCATTGGAGACCAGAAGCCCCAGTGATGAAAGGACAGAGCGCCGAAAATCCTTGTTAAGTTTTTTTTTTTTTAAGTTTGGAGCTTTGTCCCGGCTTTCAGAACGATCTTGCAAATGCAGTAGAACCAGCCCACAGAACTGGTGTGACTTACTTTCCAAGCATGCTCTAGGTACTGGCCCAAAGTCATATCATGATAGTCTGTCTTGCCCAGTGTTCCCTCTAAGCTGAGTTAGTGTGAGCTAGCTCGTAGTTTTTTAGCCTCTGGCTCACCCATTTTTGTCTTAGCTCAGGAAGGAGGGCTCCAGAGCAAACTAATTTATGCAGTAGCCAAATCACCTGCTCACAACTTTAATGCCAGTAGCTCACAAAGTAGAATTTTTGCTCACAGGACTCCACAGCTTAGAAGGAACATTGATCTTGCCCTGGAGAGTTTTCTTGGAGAGGAACAGTCTTAGTGAACGGCACTCTCCCCCCTTTCAGTGTTTCGTTCTCCAAGTCACCATCGAAACCTTTGTGGTTGGGGTTTTTTGTTGTTGAATACGTGACGGGGTTTTAACCTGGGGTGTGTTCTGCTTGGTTAAGAAAGCCACTAATATATTGTCTCAGAGTCGTCGTGATCAGAGTCTCTGCTTTTTTCTTTTGTCCCCTCCCGCCTAGATCTCCAGCTCTTGACTCCAATCTCGTTACCTAGAAGTCTCTCGGAACTGTTGCGCTGCCCTCTGGGACATTGCCACCGCTGCAGCCAACCCATGTTTACAATTGTCTACCCAAAGCTCTTCCCCTTGAGAGAAACACCGATGGCTGGATTGCATCAGGGGTAATTGCAGGGGGGGAGTTACCCTGGGGTCTTGGCTAGAGGGGAAAGTAGTGTCTGCATAGGGCTAGCGGCATGTGGGTGTTACTGGTTTTATAATGACCTGCTCGTGAACATTGTCTTTTCAAAACAGAGATATCTCTGTGCCTAAAACTTCTGTGTTTCTTGCAAGCGGCATAATCGGTCTATGCCCCCCCCCCCCCCAAATGGTCTCCTATTTCTGTTTCTTGCAAGCAATATCGGTGCAAATATTTAAGTCGCCCTCAATCAAAATTATATCCTGTTTTATTTAACTACTTTTTATCCCCTGCCTTCCTCTCTCTTTTTACCCTCACAACAATCCTTTGAGGTAGGTGTGTGGCTAGTCCAAGGTCACCTGGCAGGCTTCCATGGCAGAGAAGGGGATCTGAGTCCGCCAGCCCCTTGTCCTGCACTAACCACCACGCCACACTGGCTGCGCAGTGGACTAGCTGAAGTGGTCCGTAGGGATTTCAGTTGCATGCAAGCTTCTTGCAGGGTCTGTCTCTGAAGATGGACTTTTTTTGCCATTGGCTGAGAAGTAGGCGTGTCCTTTGGGATTCGTTTGTGCTCCCCTGTATGAAACCAAGAGGGAATCGAGATGGGGAAGGGTAGGGAAGGCATTCTGGATGTGTCCCCTGTGCATTTAACATACCATGCTCAAACATAAATCCCCCCCACCCCATGAGAAACAGAAACTCCCTTTTTCTTCAAGAGCGGGCAGGTATTTTCAGAACTCGGAAGGACCTGCAGCTTCAGCCCAGCTGTGTTAAACATGATTGTTTTGTAATAGCACTTTTAGCACCTTCTTTTTTTCCCCCGTTTACAAAAAAGCACTGCATTTGTATGTTTTTACGCAAATAAGAAAAATCATGCTCTGCTCTACAATTTGTCACTGAATGGCGGCAGCAGAGGACGCAGCCCTTTGTAGCTCTGACTGCGGGGCGCCAAAGCGAGAAGCAGTGGAGATGGAGAAAGCGATCAGCTGCTACTTCTCAAGCGAGAAATACCGAGCACACGAAGCTGTCTTATGCCGCATCAGAGCAGGTCAGGGTGGCCCGTTCAGGTTGGCGGCAGCTCTCGGGGTCTCCAGTCTTTCACATCACTTACAGCTTTTTAAACTGGAGATGCCGGGGATCGATCCCGGGGCCTGCCGCATGCCAGGCAGATGCCCGGCCACTGAGTCACAGCCCCTCCCCGTGACAGTGTCATAAAGCCACAGCCCTTCCCACAATGAGGCTTTTCGGTCTTGGTGTGCGGAGCGAAAGTGCCTCCTTAGGCTCACGGTTCTTTTTCTGCGAAAGTCAACAATTGGAGGAGGAAACCGGAAAGCGCCGCCTTCCATACCTCTCCTTTTAATCTTTCCAAATCCAGTTTCCTAACCAAAAGGGGGGGGGGACGGGGAACCCACAGCTTTTGTTCTCATTGATCCCGAGTGCCAGTCCTCCTCCTCCTCCTCCCTCCTCCTATTGGAAACACTCCTTCAGGGCCGATATTCTTAAATGGATGCAAGAAGTGACAGGGCAGTGCTTTCACCTGCGGTATTCAACGCTGGCGTGAAGAAGAAGAGATTGGATTCATACCCCGCCCTTCACTACCCAAAGGTGTCTCAGAGCGGCTGACAAACACTTCCAGAAGCGAATCCAATTCACTTAGAGACAGAAACTCACTGGAGACAGAAACTGCTCTTTTTCAAGGACAGCTCTTATCAGAACTGTGGCTTGCCCAGGGTCATCCAGCAGGTGCAAGTGGAGGAGTGGGGAATCAAACCCGGTTCTCCCAGATTAGAGTTCGTGCACTCAACCACTCCAACAAACTGGCTCTCAAGGGAAGAAGAAGAAGAAGAGATTGGATTTATACCCCGCCCCTCACTACCCAAAGGAGTCTCAGAGCGGCTGACAAACTCCTTTCCCTCCCCACAACAGACACCCTGTGAGGTAGAAGAAGAAGAAGAGATTGGATTTATACCCCGCCCCTCACTACCCAAAGGAGTCTCAGAGCGGCTGACAAACTCCTTTCCCTCCCCACAACAGACACCCTGGGAGGTCGGTGGGGCTGAGAGAGCGCTGACAGAAGCTGCTCTTTTTCAAGGACAGCTCTTGTTAGAACTACGACTTGCCCAAGGCCATCCAGCCAGGTGCAAGTGGAGGAGTGGGGAATCAAACCCGGTTCTCCCAGATTAGAGTCCGCGCACTTAACCACGACACCAAACTGAAAGCCGGCTTTGTTTGGGCCATGGCCTGTGGTGCTGGGAACATGCAGCGGCAGGTGCTCCGGGAGGAGGCCCGCCTGTAGTCCTGGCCTGTGCCAGTTCCTTGCAGGTGTTGGGGGCGCCAGCAGGAGTCTCAGTAGCCCCAGAAGTCTGCACAACTGGCATCCAGCTTGAGGTACAGTGGAGACGCCGGAGCACCCCACCCAAAGAACAGGGTGTGCGCTTTCAAGCACAGTCGAGCGCAACGTTCTCTTGAAATTAAGGGAGCGAGGGAGCTTGTGGCAGGGCGACTTCCCGTTCGACACTTCTCCTCATGGGCTGCCCTGAAGCCTTCTAATTGGGCATTTAATGTCTTTGTTTGAGGCAGCCGTGCTCTAGAGCATTCACAAAATCCTCAGCAGACTGAGGATCCAAGTGAATGACGTGGATTTGTGCTTGGCTTCTTTTCTGCTGCCGATGCTCTTTGCTCGTGCCTCGACGTTTAGGTTGTCGCCTGCCCCCTCACTTCCCCACGCAAAGAAAAACCAAGAGGCTTTATGGCGTGAGAACAGTCATTTGGACAGCAGCCGGATAGTTTTCAAAACACAGCTCTGGGGAGGCCTCCTCCTTTTTCTTAGAAAGCCCTGCCCCGATTACAACAGCTGACCGTTCGTTTCACCCTCGCGTGGCGAAGGCCAGCTTTGTGTGTGGCTGGCGGCGCCCTGCTTGCCACCACCCCGCGGCACCCCTGCGCCACTTCTGCCCACTTGGTCAGGAAGGTTCATGCGATCTCAGGCCTTGCTGGCACCAGGCACCAGTGGCACCCACCCTTTCTGGCTGAACAGTTCCTTTTATCGGACCAGGGCACACAAGCCACGTTGTGAGGGATCTTGGATATTCAAGGAAGGCAAGGCTCGGCTTGAGTATTGCTACACTAACAGTCAAGTAAGAATATAAGAGAACATAAGAGACGCCAATGTTGGATCAGGCCAAAGGCCCATCCAGCCCAACACTCTGTATCACACAGTGGCTAGAAATACCAGTGCCATCAGGAGGTCCACCAGTGGGGCCAGGTCATTAGAAGCCCTCCCACTGTTGACCCCCCCCCAAGCACCAAGAAGACAGAGCCTCACTTGCCCCAGAGCTCCTATCTATACCTTGTGGCTAATAGCCACTGATGGACCTCTGCTCCATACGCTTATCTAATTCCCTCTTGAAGCTGTCCATGCTTGTAGCTGCCACCACCTCCTGTGGCAGTGAATTCCATGTGTTAATCACTCTTTGGGTGAAAAAGTACTTCCTTTTATCTGTTCTAGTTGCTCAGCAATTTCATTGAGTGCCCACGGGTTCTTGTATTGTGAGAAAGGGAGAAGAGTACTTCTCTCTCAGCCTGCTCTATTCCATGCATAATCTTATAAACTTCAATCTTATTTAGTGAAGTCTTGTGCAGAATGACTTCAGTGTAAATCTGTTGATTTCAGTGGGCTTAAACTGGATTCACTCGTGATAGGATTGCTCCTAACGGCAGAGTGGATGCTGTGAAGAAGGAACAAACACCAAATGCACTATTGAGAGTAAACCCCACCTCCTTTCCCCCTTCCTTATAGCTATGCGCCTCATTTTTGAGGGATGTTTCCAAATTTTGCTCTAGAATGCAAGTTCACGAAAGGGCTTTGTTACCCCACGGACGAGAGAGCCAGTGTGGCACAGTGGTTAGAGTGGTAGGCCAGAGTCTTGGAGACCAGTGTTCCCTCTAAGCTGAGTTAATGTGAGCTAGCTCACAGTTTTTTAGCCTCCGGCTCATACGTTTTTGCCTTAGCTCAGGAAGGAGGGCTCCAGAGCCAACTAATTTATGCAGGAGCCAAATCGCTCGCTCACAACTTTAATGCCAGTAGCTCACAAAGTAGAATTTTTGCTCACAAGACTCCACAGCTTAGAGGGAACATTGTTGGAGACCCAAGTTCGAATCCCCACTGCGCCACAGAGACTTGCTGGGTGACCATGGGCCAATCACACGCTCTCAGCCTAGTCTGCTTCACCAGGTTGTTGTGAGGATAAAACAGGAGGGGAGAATGATATAAGCTAGGTTGGGTCCAGTGTTCTCTCTAAGCTGAGTCAGTGTGAGCCAGCTCATAGTTTTTTAGCCTCTGGCTCACACATTTTTGCCTTAGCTCAGGAAGGATGGCTCCAGAGCAAACTAAGTGATGCAGTAGCCAAATCGTTTGCTCACAACTTTAATGACAGGAGCCCACAAAGTAGAATTTTTGCTCACAAGACTGCACAGCTTAGAGGGGGCATTGGTTGGGTCCCCACTGGGGAGAACAGCAGGATATAAATAAAGCAATTAAATAAATGTCTTGCCTCCAAACAGCATATAAGAAAATGTACAGGAAGTACACGTCACCATCATTTGCTGTGTTTTTATGTACATATATATAATGCTATAGATAGGGATGGACACAAGGAAAACCTGGAGACACAATTGAGTCGCTAGACGGGTGGGGCTGAAATGTCTAGTTTATCTAATTCAGCTCAGACTCGGGTTGAAGGAATTGCAAAAGATGCCTAGGTCAATGAGTAGATTGTTTCATTAGCCGCTAGCCCGTGCGGCCTGCCTGAAGCAGTGTTGAGCAGGAACAATTATCTGGTTTAGTGAAAGAGAAAGGGGTGAGACTGGCTGGGGAGGGCAATAATGCAGAACTCCTTCTGGGACTGATTTGTGGGGAAGGCATGCCTTTTAAATAGGGTTTTACTCTGTCCCCTTGCAAGAACCTAGACCTGGGGCACTAGGCAAGGTCAGCCGGCAGAGGAAGGAAAGCCGTGCACATCATGCAGTACAGTTAGTGTAGCCTGTCCCCTAAGAACCTGAAGGGCAGCAGAAACTGAGGAGTTCTCCAGATGTGTTCCTCATAGCCGCGTAACAATAGCCGCTGTAGTATTTTAGCTGAACTCCGCGTGTGTTGACGGAAGAAAACCATTATGCTATTTTTACAAGCGCAAATGTTTTGTGTACTTAGTTTAATTTTCTCTCTCTCTCTGTTTTTAACTGCCCAGAAAAGTTGTCTGCTGTGGACGAGAGCCAGGGTTTTAATCTTAAGCCAATGACTGCTTTCTTCCCCCCCCCCCTTCTGTGTTCCAGGAGGACGAGTGTTAGCTTTGTGGCGTACTGCTGCTCCACCCAATGTCTGCAGACTTTTGACCTGTTGAGCTGATAAAAACTGAAAGCAGCTCAGGAGCATCGCCAGCTTGGAGCTGCCTTCAACTGCATCTCCTGATGGTGCTGGAATACTCCGTTGTCTGTGTTTGTGTGCGCGTGTGCCGAAACGGCAAGGAGGAGTTGCCCAGCTGGGAACACAGAGAGCCACTTAAATCCTCACCATATCGGATTTGGATGCAAGGCAGAAGCCCTTTGGGAAGTGTTTGAACGCTCCAGCTTTAGAAAAGGTTAACACCTTCCCGGTCCCCCCTTCCAGGCAGAATGTACACACGCAAACATCAGACGGGCAGACAGCCTCTGGAACACCCTAGGATCCTGGTTGTATTCACACAAGATTTCTGTTCAAACCAGGGTCAGCCATTTGAATGTGAGAAACTGATTCAACAATACATTTGTAAAACTTGTAAGTTACTTTTTTGTGTGTGTGTGAGAGAGAGAAATGTTCCTTCTTGGCTATGTACTGCTACTCACAGGAGAACAGCCATTTAAGGTAACAGTTTATTTTTCCTGGCAAGAACACTGCTTTCTTCTTCTTTTTTCAATTTAGGTTCTAATATTTTCTCCCTTTTTCTACAAACCCCCCTCCCCCAACTGACCTTTTGACAGTTGGTGAGGAGTATAAATCTTCTTTGGGAAGCTGGGAGTTCACCCTGAATGGTGGACTCATTGTCGTCATGAGTCCACGGCAAGCAGCCACGAATGTCTCATTTGGAGGTGATTCTGGCTTTTCATCCTGTGGAGGTAAAAAGGATTTTAAAAACGGCCATAGGTTGGATTGGCAAGGCTGCCTACTGAATTCCGCTTGCTGCGGACTTGCAAAACATTTACGCATCAGGCGGAAGCAGACGGTGCTTGTCGTAAGATGTAAAGGGGTACGGCCTACAGTTGCCGCAGCTTCAAAATTCCCGTCGATTTCCAAGAAGCGTCAGTCGAACGTCCTGACCTCAGAGGAGGCCGTAAAAAGGAGAGCAAAACAAAGTCACTTTTTCCCCCCTGATGTTACTCTTTTTTTAAAAAGCTTGGGATCGAAAAAGGACGTTGCAGATATTCTTCCTGCCCTCTGAGGATTGCCTCTTGGAAACTTTCCCTTGCACTTAATAGCACAAAAGCTAGAGAGAAGCCCGGAAGGAAGGAGCGATTTGCCGTTGCCTCTTGGAAACTTTCCCTTGCACTTAGTAGCACAAAAGCTAGAGAGAAGCCTGGAAGGAAGGAGCGATTTGCCTTTTTGGTTTTAGAAATAAGAAAAGAGCAAATCAGAGCCCTACTTAAGACAGTTGACAGATATTTATTTTTCTTAATGCGTCGCTGCTGGTGTAGTTGAGAACCACAAATTGCTTGTGGGTTTTGACACACGAGGCTTTTTGTTTTTTGGGAAGTCAACGTGCTGAAAGATCAGAATCTCAAAAACTGCATATTTAAGGCGGTTTGGGAACATCCTGTGTAGCCAGGGATACAGTAACACCTGCCATGTTAGTGGCAAGGGCAGACATGTTAGCGTTGCCTAGAAGGGAGGCATTTTTTTTTGCGTGGGGTGCCGGGTGCCAAAAATCTTTCCTTAGCCCGTCACCCTCATAGGTGATTTCCTTAAGGGAGGGACGGGAAGTTCCTGGAGCTCAAACACGACCCAGTCCACGTACAGTGCAGACCAAAGTGAAACGGTATCGCCCAGAACCCTGGCAGACAGTAAGTGGTAGGAGCACGGTTTTAATTCCCCACCCCCGTAAAAAAAATCCTTCCAGCATTGAGCCCAGGTGGAAGAAGGGGGATTAATTGTAACCCTGTCGTGCACAAGAAAATTATTTTTTAGATTGGGGGGGGGGGGGACTTCTGAAATATAAGTTGTTGGCTGCAGACCATAGCGGTCCTATCCTGACTTCTCACCCCCCGTAAGAGCCTGGGTACGCGAAAGCTGTCTTTTCTTGAGAATCCCAAGCCAATCCTTCCTATGCATTCCGACAAGCAGGGAAGGCCGATACACGGGCCAAGCCCTTTCCTTTCTCCCCTGCCCTCCCCAGAAGTACAGAGAGCTCCCAGGTGACTCAGAGGGGAGGAAGAAAGAGCTCCTTGATTCCCCCCCCCCTCCATGCCCGGCCTTGCACACCGAGCGTTGGAAGCTCCTCCCAGAATAGGATGGAATAGAATTTTAAAAGCCCCCAGCAGGAAGATCCCTTCCCTGAAGGCAAGGAGCTCTTCTCTCTTCCTTGGATTCGCCTGGGATACTCTCTCCTTTCTGGACGGGCAAGGAACTGTGACTGATGAGCAGACATTTCGGTCCGCCTGCCCATTGGGGTGGTTATTGGACGGAAGGGGGGGAGGGACAACCTGCTGATGCAGCCATGACGCGCCCCACTCAGAGACGTGGCAGCCCCAGATTTGAAGCTTGGCTTTGTACTCTGTCTTTTGAAATACACCCACACTGGAATAAAAACCAAGCTGAAGCATCCCGCCCATGTTTGCGTGTTTGTGTCGATCTCTGCTACTTTGTGCTTTCGTGTCTTGTCCGTTTCTCTGTTTTCAGGCACATTCAGCTTGGCCTTTTGAAAATAAAACGTGGCCAAGCAAAGAAGATTGTGAGCCATTCTTCCTGCAGCGAAAGAATTACTTACGTGGGAAGGATGACATGACTATTCCCACCTTTACTGACAGCCACTGTGGTGTTAGTGGTCAGGCTAGGCACTGAAGAGCCCTGGGTTCAAATCCCCGTTCTCCCATGAAGCGGACGGAGTGGTCTTGGGCTGGTCGCTGTCTGTCAAGGTGGTCGTGAGACTGAAATAGAAAAGCAAAAATCTCGAGCCCTTTAGAGGAAGGCTGGGATGAAAGAGCACTGTTCTGCCAGAATCCTGTGCGGTTTTGTTGGACCAGTCCATTGAAAGAGCCAGGTAATAAGTAGCTGGTGAGTCCTTTGTAATTATTACAGCACCATGTTGCAGAAAACGCAATAGCCTCCAGGCTGGTTTGTGTGTGATGTACAAGATGTGCGGGGTTTTCTGTTCGCAGCAGAGACCCAATTAGTGTTTGAGGCCCTAAGTGTTGCTCTCGGTGCGCGTCCCATTTCCTACTAATTAAGGATTAGCACATAACGTACAGGCAGAATAAGTTGTATCAGGCAGCAGTTTTTTGGCCTTTGGGAAGTGAACTGCCTTTGGGGAGGCTTGGCGCAGGGTCGATGTGACCAGAGAAAACCAGCCAGTTGTATATAGAGGAACCTTTTATGTTCCAACAAATCAAGGACCTTTAGATTTGTTCACAAAATCCCACCCTTCACAAGCTATAAGAGTACAGAGTCCTTGGTTAGTACTGAACTCTAGCTTGGATTCATAAGACATCAGGAAGAAAGTCAACAGGTGTAGCTCCGTAACCGGAGGAGCCATTTTTTTAAAAAAACATTCCATTTGTATACCGCTCACCCCCTGAGGGCTCTACGCGGTTCACATTATTTACAAACCAAGCCAATCCTAATTACAACACAAGCCAATCCTAACCTAGGGCCACATACATACAAGGGGGAGAGTGACTAGCCTACCAGGCACCCTTGTAGCGAGTCGTTGTTGTCTGCGGGAGCTCGTCCGACAACGTCCTCCTGGCGCTGGTCTTTGATTGTTGTTGCGACTTCCTGGCTGTTGCGACTCCTTCAGGCTTGGACCGAGCGCACGTCCGCGCATGCACTCTGTCCAGTGGGCTCCGGCCTGCTGTGTTGCCCCGCCTCCATGCTTTTGCCGGCCCAGCCTCCTCTCACTCGCTTTGCCTCGCCAGCCGCCGCCATGTATCGCCGCCGCCGCCACTGCTCACCGTTCACGCCGCCACTACACCGCAAGGGATGGGTGCACCCCCCCCGCTCTAAGAGCAGGTACCCATTTGTCTACTTGCCCTTTAACGGGCTTTCGAGCCGCTGGGTGGGCGGGAGCTGGGACATAGGGCCGGGTGCTCACCCCGGCCGCGGTGGGGCTCGAACAGCCGAAGCTGTTCGGCCAGATGTCAATGCAGGCTTCACTTACCGCCTGCGCCACCGCTCCTTCTGCTGGAGGGCTTGCTGTGTGGCCTTCAAAGGCCCAGATGCCACTTTCTCAAGCACAATAATGGCAACTCCTTCAAAGTTAGGGTTGCCAAGTCTGGGTTGGGAAATTCCTGGAGATTTAGAGGACAGAACCTAGGGAGGGTCGGGTTTAGGGAAGGGGTGGCGGGGTATAACTCGGTTGAAGCCACCCTCTAGGGCAGCCCTTTTTTCTAGAGGAACCGTTCTCTCCGGTCGGTTGCAGATCTCGATCTCCAAGCCCTGCTTGGCAACCCTATCCAAAGTTGATGTCCTTGTGTCAAATGGGTGTGTGTGAACCAGGTGAAGTGTTAGGTATCCACTTCTCCTCAGGGATGATTCTTTCACTGCATTATGCATTGTTCCCTCTTTGGAAGGGCAGAGCTCAGTTTAGAGGGTAGGTGTACAGCTTAAAGACTATTCAGCTTGTCCAGAGGTGTGTTTGTCCTTCGGAGAGGCTACTGGGCCAATCATCTGTTAGCCGGGCAGCCGGCTCTCCTGTTTCTCCAGTCATTCACACAAATATTTCCATCTCTGGTCAAGCACTAAGCCAGCCAAAGAGAGCTGAAAACTCCTCTTGCTGTTCTTCTCACTCAAAGGCCTTGAACAGATCGTGATCCAGCCCTCTTGCAGGCAGTCACCTGTCTTTTGCGACCGCTAAGGTAGTTTTCCATTCCGCCTCTACAAGAAAAAACTGGACAGTCTCTTAGATGATAAATTAATATAACCTGTTAAGAGAGAGAACAAATAATTCATCCTCAAAACAGACTAGTCTTCACAGCCCAGTAAAATATATTCCAAGGACTCAAGCTGACCAGATCCACACTTAACAGACTCTGTCCGAATACGGCAAAAATGGAAAACTGCTCCTCTGAAGTTAGCAGCTGTGTACAAGTGAGCAGAGAAGGGATTGTAATATAGCCTGTCTGTTTCCCCCCCTCTGTGCATACAAGTGCTCTTGTGATAGGATTGCCACAAGGTGTTTTATTGCCCTTAGCCAGGGCTATTTTTGGGCAGGAACGTACAGGAACGGAGTTCCGGCTGGCTCCTGAGTTGGCCGCACCCAGCAGGAACTCATTAGCATAATAGGCCACACCCAACATCAGAAACTCATGAGGATTGGCTACATTAGGGGTGTGTGGCCTAACATGCAAAGGAGTTCCTGCTACAAAAAAACCTCTGGGTTTTGACAACAAAGTACACAGAATAAGAAGCAAAAGGTGGGTGTGGCTGGATGACCACACTTCTGGTAACATGGGGGTGCGGCCTAATATGCTGTGCTGTCAAGGGTGTGGCCTAATATGCTAATGCCTGTCTGCTGTTGGGTGTGGCCTATTATGCTAATGAGTTCCTGCTGGGCTTTTTCTACAAAAAAAGCCCTGCCCTTAGCGAAGCGCGCGCAGACACACACGGCCTGTAGCGTAGCCCCAAGAGGAGACAATGGTCACTTCCATGCCGCTGCTAGAGGGGAGTCCTGAGAAGCCCTCTCCGGCTCTCTTGCCTGTCTGTCCGAGGTAGCTGTTGCTTATCTCTAGGCCAGCACCCTGAACTGGTCCCTGCTTTGAGGCACACACTTAGCCGTGAATACCACAGCAGTGGTGGGCGATGCCAGCCAGTCCAAGAATAGATCTGTGGCTCCGGTCGGCAATTTAAGACGTTTCGGCCTGGCCTCAGGAGGCCGACTGCCAGTCAGACGCGCGGCAGTGCCCCCGGGACATTTTCCCTCTCGGTATTCTCTTCAGCTCTGAGGTAAAAAGAGCAAACTTGTCCCGCTGCACCATGAAGCACTCTGATACGAGGCTGTCGCTGTGGGCAACGCCTTGCGTTAGATCAAGGTGGGTAGCCGTGTTTGTCTGTCGAGCAGTAGAAAAGAGCAAGACTCCAGGAGCACCTTAAAGACTGATGGAATTTGTGGCAAAAGAGGAGCTTTCGTGAGTCCGTGACTCACGAAAGCTCCTCCCCTGCCACAAATTTTGTTAGCCTTTAAGGTGCTCCTGGAGTCTTGCTCTTTTCTACTTTCCATTTGGAATACCAGCCTCCCAAGAGGAGCCTGGGCATCTCCCAGAATGTCAGCTCATCTCCAGTCTA